CCCCTCACCCCCCCAAAAAAAATATCTGAACTCACCCTAACAGGCCACAAGACACAAATAAGGAAATAAAAAAATTATTCTCCCTCTTTCTTCCCTTCAAAGTACTGTTACACACTTTTACTCTCCGGTCTCCAGTTCTTCATTCAACTTCTTAGAGACCTAGAGTTCTACTCACTTCTATGTTTGGAACCAAATTTCCTAGATGAAGCAACAAAAATTACACTTTGCTGCTTCTAAAATTTCCTTTTGGATTTTTTTTCTTTCCTCCCTTCATGATTAATAGAACCTGGATGAATTCTGGCTCTAATAGTTGCGCCCATTCTTAAACTGTTCTGAAAGGGTCAGCTCATGCTGAAGGAAGCATCCTCACTTCGAGATCAGCAAATCTTTTTCTTTCCATCCCAAATGAAACATTGAATAGGAATTTAGATGCAACCAAGGTCATCGCAAACCTAGGGTTAGGTTGTTGGCTGGGAGATCTAACGAAAAAAATGAAACCTTCAATCAATGAAAAGAGCTGACAATACAATTAGTAATGGTGAGCGGTCTCACATTCTTCGATGAAAAGATATGGTTGAAGACCTAGCTAACCTAGCATATTTCTGCCCGGCCCTTCTATTATTAAGTCTGGAAGGTACAATTTTGATGTGTTTCGATTCTTTTGAAGAAAAGAGGTTTGACGGTCTTGAAAGATGAAAGAAAAGTAGCTTATCAGGTGGTATCTTCAAGACACTCCTCTCCATTTTTCTGCTCTCCAACTCAAAGATAAGACGCGTACATTATGATCTATCACATTTTCAAATTCCAATCCCACTAGAGACTAAAGTAATTGTTAACTTGAGGCAGGGAATTGGTAGAACACTGCTTTTCACTAGAGGCAAAATACAATTACATTCTTTAAGAAGAAATTAAAATGATAGGAGTAAGACATGAGCAGTCTGACATTAGTTCAAATTTTGCTTTAAAGAACATCATAATGCATTCCACCATATGCATTTTCATTTTAAACTCTGACCTCTATTTGGTAGCTCCATTTCTCCCGGGAAAACAAACTACAACAACATACCCAGTATTATCCCATAACGTGGGGTCTGAATAGGATAGTGTGTACACAGACCTTACCCCTACCTTGTGAGGATAGAGAGGGTGTTTCCAATAGAGCCTCGGCTCAGGAAAGCATAAGCACCACATTAATGAAAATATAGACAAGGAACAGTGCCAAAAAGCCATATAAAAGCAGAATAAAAACAATAAGATAGTAAGGTGATCAACAATGAAAGGACACAACGGCTAGTCATAAAAACACTACTACAAACAGAAAGCGAGACAACGTGCCAATACTACTGTTATAAACACTCTAGACTACCTACTCTACTACCCTAATTCTCGACCTCCATACCTTCCTATCAAGGGTCATGTCCTCGGTCAGCTGAAGCTACGCCATGTCTTGCCTAATCACCTCTCCCCACCTCTTCTTTGGTCTACCTCTACCTCTCTGTAATCCTTCCAATGTCAACCTCTCACACCTCCTCACCGGAACGTCTGTGCTCCTCCTTCTCACATAACCAAAGTACCAAACCACCTAAGCCGCGCTTCCCGCATCTTGTCCTCAACAGGGGCCACACCCACCTTGTCGTGAATAACCTCATTTCTGATCCTATGTAACCTGGTGTGCCCGGACATCCATCTCAACATCCTTATCTCTGCTACCTTCATCTTCTGGACATGAGCGATCTTAACTAGCCAACATTCAGCCCCATACAATATCATTGGCCTGACCACCACTCTGTAGAACTTACCTTTAAGTTTCGGTGGCACCTTCTTGTTACACAAAACACCGGAAGCGAGTCTCCATTTCATCCATCCCGCCCCAATACGACGTGTGACATCTTCATCAATCTCCCCATCCCCCTGAATAATAGACCCAAGGTACTTAAAACTTCCTCTCCTTGGGATGACCTGCGAGTCCAGCCTCACCTCCCCTTCCCCGCCTTGAGTCTCGCCACTGAACTTACACTCCAAGTATTCTATCTTGGTCTTGCTCAACTTGAAACCTTTAGACTCCAGGGTCCGCTTCCACACCTCTAATTGCGCGTTCACACCGTCTCGCGTATCGTCAATCAATACAATATCATCTGCAAATAGCATGCACCACGGCACCTCCCCTTGGATGTGGCGCGTCAGTACGTCCATTGCCAGAGCAAATAAAAAGAGCTGAGTGCCGACCCCTGATGCAACCCTATTATAACCGGAAAATGGTCTGAGTCCCCACCCACTGTCCTCACTCGGGTCTTTGCTCCATCATACATGTCCTTAATCAACCTAACTAGGCACTAGGTACACCTCTAGCCTTCAAACATCTCCACAAAACCTCCCTCGGAACTTTATCATATGCCTTTTCTAAGTCGATGAACACCATATGCAAGTCCTTTCTCTCCATATACTGCTCCATCAATCTCCTAACAAGGTCGATGGCTTTTGTAGTTGAGCGCCCCGGCAAAAACCTGAACTGGTTCTCGGAAATAGACACACTCCTCCTCACCCTTAGCTCTACCACTCTCTCCCAGACTTNAAAGAAAAAGAGGCAAGAGCCAAATATGGATCTAATCAACACAGCAACTTATGTAGCAAAAGTTATGCTTTAACTGCAAGCAGTTTACCCTTTTTACTTCCCTGAATAACACATCAGACAAATAATGGTAAGCCACATTGTGGAATGTAATCAGGCGATGCGTATAGAGACAAATCATTTACCTTTTTGGGAACACTGTTGATGGACATTTGACGATCCAATAGTTTTCTTGCTGCTGTTGCATTTTCTGGGGTTCCATAACTGACTCNAACTCGCCTGCCTTCGTTTTCAAACTGATCAATCGAAAGCTGTCGTACCATGCCACCAAGAGCTCCACCAGTCTCTGCAGCTACAACCACCTTCAATGCATTAAGGCACATCATTAGTCAACCTTATGAGCACTAAGACTAGCATAGCATTAAGGACTTGAACACTGACGGCACGGTGATGTAGCCGGACTCCAGCTGGGACAGAATTATTTGATAAGACAGAATCGGGCTTGATCAAAGTAGGCGCCTGTTTTCCACTTGGCGTTGCCTCTGCTCCACGATCCCTGTCTGGAAGTTCAACTTCTCCATTACCTTGTTGTCGAGCTTTTGCAGCCGCTAGGGTAGCAGTAATAGCCTCAGCTTCTGCGGCAGAAGCCTCCACTAGATATTCAACACCTTTGATGAGTCTCCTGCAAAACAAAACACAAGATAGATCTTTAGAAACTAATCATACAATTATCATAAAACAGATAGCAGATGCTGTTGTTCCTATGCAACTGCAAACTCACCGAGATCCTTGAAGCGTCGCATTTTCAGTGCTTATATCAGAATACATATCACCATTTACAGGGGGAGCAACAGGAGTTCCCAGTACAACTGAGCCATCATTAACTACCTCAGGGTCTGTTTGCCTTGTTCTTTCATCACCAAACCCATACCTTCCTGCTATCCTCCCAGCAGCAGCAGCAGCTGCATGTGAAGCTGCACTAGTTGTTTCAGCAGCGGCAAAGTCTTCGGCGACAAGCAAGTCGTCTAGCAATACCCCTGCGACAAAACATAGCAGCACTAAACTTGTTGCAGAAACCAGGAAGTGATCTGAATAACTTCTCCCAAGGTATTTTCATTACACTACTTATTTTCCTTACAGTTGGAAACATGCAACAGATACATTTGAGGCTAAGTATGATTTTCACATCTGACAGAGTAACATGGTGACTTGAACCCACACCGTAAATGTTGAAAGTGGAGGGTGCTTTCCACTTGAGCGACCCTCTCTTATTTTATGACCGAAAAATCCGTTTTGAGCCAAGCCTATAGGCCAACCGCAGTGTCCGGAACTCGGGAACCTTCTCCATTTAAATACCAGAGTTAGTTCTTGGCGCAAGGCTCGAACCTATGACCTAAGACACAAGTCCCTCAACCTTTGCCAATTGAGCTACCCTCACTTGTCTGGCCTCACTGCAGTTAATTTTTTGAATGGGGAAAGTTGTTCATCTAGGTGCAAACATGACTTAACAGTATGAGTTGCACCACATCATTACAGCTAAAGTGGACCAGTTCTAAAACTCTTGAATGAAATCCTTTTACACCAGACTGGAAATATGCCCTCTATTAATTCAGCACTTGATCTTAGCCAAAAGGCCAAGAAAGGTATAATAATAATACAGTACTTGAACAGTGACAATGTGAGTATTTTTCAGTGATATCAAATTACTGAGTCAGATAAATTGCTATGCACCAGTGGCACGATAAGCGTTACATTGATGAAAGACACAGGAACCAGCATTAGTGTGTGTCATGAAAACCTTTAATCTAGCAGGCTATATGCACACTAGAGAACGGGATTTAGCTAGTGAAGACCACTTATGAATGCCTAAACCATAGCACATCCTGCACCACCCCTGGAGTCGAAGAAAGAAGATAGAAGATACTTTTAGTTGCTTCACAATTTCTTTTTTACTATTCCAAGAAAAAGAATGATTGTCATCTGAAATCAAACTTGAAAGCAAATATAAAAACATTGATTGATGTCTATCTTATAGTCTTACCACCACGCAGACCACCATAAATAAATATCAAGTCACCAACAGCAGCAGCCGCATGTCTACAACGTCTGGTCAATTCAACTGCAGCATCTCCCCCAGCTGCGTCTGCACTGTATCTGCCAGTTCTAGGACTAGTGACAACAGACTTCGTGTCACACCACACTCCTGCTGCAGTATCAAGTACTGCCAGAAGGGGGCAAAGAACCATGATAGTGAGGGATGAGCATAACAGTGCAAAAAGTGTTATATCCACTATGTATCGACTAAAAGTAAAAAATACCGGCTATACTAGATGAATCCTCCACCATGCGTCCACCACCAAGTGCCCCTCCAGATACATGGAGCCGAGCATTAACAAAAACCTATAATATCAGAACGTAATTGATAAATACTGTATCCATGTGAAAGTATGCAGTTAATAAAAGGAATGAAACAAACACGTACAGCAGCATGTTGATATCTAGAGGATGGCGACACACCAGGAGCAATGGCCCATTCCCAGCGCCCATCTCTATGCTTGGCAAGTCCATATGCACTGGCCAGAGGCTGTGGATCAACAAAGCAGTGGGAAAAGTAAGTACAAGTACATCAACCAATGAGCGCAAGAGCATACGAGGAAGTAACAGTTTAAAAGCTCAGGGCCCCATCCAATTATCAATTAGACCAAAAGAAGATGAAAGACCAAACAAAAAACAGAACTCTCAAGTTCATCACTTATGTTACATGGATCTTCACATCTGTTTTGACGAACCCATGTCGAACAGGTGTAGTATAGGTGTGGATACTTTATGGCTCTAAAGAATACACTAAGAATATCAAAAACCAGACACTTCACTGGACACTTATGCAACCCCATATACGTACTCATATAGTCGGTACAAAAAATTTTCTGCCCTGCATGATTGCACTATAATCCCCATAACCTTTGAGGTATCCAACTAAACCCATCACATGGTGGAAGTTGAAAACACAGTTTTCTGAAGTACCATCATATCATGCTGCATATACTTCCTTAACCTCAAGCCCCAGACATCCACTGTTCATTAATCTCAAATCACAAATCCGCTCCACCACTCAAATTATTATTGCAGTATTTAAGTGGATGAAGCTCAACACAGCATCATTTTCACTGACAGTTTCTTGGGCATAAAAATCCAGAAAAGATAGTTGATAAGTCTGTTATTTTTAAGTGACATAGGGAAAGAGTACAGAAACAATAGTAGGAAGTATCTAACAGACAGGATATGTTAACAAGATATCACATCAAATTACAACACTCGACACAAACTACAGAAAATACAAATCATAGAAATCTCTCTTTTTACTCTTATGTCCTTTATTTTATAGCGAAAAAAGGGCTTTGCGTTACTTAAGTTAGAGGAAATGTCTTTAGAAATGTAGTTTGAGGAGGCAAATGTCATAACCTACTGAAAAACATGTTAATTTACAGCATGTATATAGTGTAGTATTGTCCCACATCGGTAGAGGAGTAGTATGTCCTTGTATAGTATAGCTATAAATAAGGACCTCTTGTGTAGTATTATTCATTCATTCAATATATCAATAACATATTTTCTCCCGTGCCTTCTCACATGGTATCAGAGCAATTGTGAGAGACTTATCGCTGTGCATAAATTCCAGCGATTCCGGGAAAGAGAAATCAGTATTTTTTAAGGTTGTTTTCTATCTGCTTCATTTCTGTCAGTGTTGTGCAAAATCCAACACTACCACAAGAGTCGTCACTGTCCGGCGACCAAACCCCAGTGAACAACTCCGGCAGAAGCAGCCTCACGCGCC